GGAGGGCTGGATGCGGTCCCGCCGAGCAGCCGGTGCTGAGGGCGGGTCTCCCTTCGCGCCGCCGCAGGCGCCTGGAGCGAGGAGGTGGTGGATCACTTTCTAAGGTGTCAGCGCATCCGATCCAGGGACGGAGCGGCCATCCGGTGGTTCCACGCCGCGAACAGCAAGGCCCGAGCTGCGGAGGCCGCGGGGAGTAAGTGTGAGCCGCTGGCGGCCTGCCATTGGGGAAATACTTAGTATCTTTATGTAATTTTATACGTAATCTGCTTTCTGTTGACTGTATAATTAGTATCATATTTTTTATTGCAGTTTCAGCTTAAGTAGCTGTATATACTGAGTTCTCTGCAAAGCTGGTAGCGCTGCTTCTGCATCTGGTGGCTCTCAGATGCTTCTCATCACAGAAAGCTGTTATCAAGAGCTTGCAGCATTCCTAAGGTTTCCACTCGCTTGACTTGTGTTTCATGTGCCGTTTTCCTGGCAAATGTTTGCGACTGATTACCTGGCTGACCTGTTTTTTAAAACAATTTTGGCTGGGATGGGTTGGTCAGTTTTCAGAATGAGACAAGAATACTCAGTCTCTGCCAGTGTTAAAATCTGATGGTGACCTTTTGCTCTAAAAGGCTCTCTCTGGAACCCTATTTTAAGAGGAAAAGATTTGAGGTTTAGCAAGAGTGGGTTCACATTTTGGATATTGACTTTGCTGTTCCTCTGAAAAAATGTTGGGATACTTGGCCAAATGCGCCTACAAAAAGCAGTTTTGATGTGCTTGTAGATTTCTGAAGAGTTTAGTGACTAAAGTACCTGAAGCATCTTTGTTGCTTCACAGAAAGCAACTTAAACTGGGTGACCTTTGTGAAGTAAGCGTGCACAGCCAAGTGTAGAAGGACTTGCCCTGTTACTGTTACTCTGAAGCAGACACTAGAGATACTGGATTTACTTCTGTTAGAGCATTCTTTTTTAAATCAACAGGTGATGTTCACATGATAGAAGCAGATGTTCTTCTTCGTGGTGGCAAGGGAGGAAATGGAGACCCTATCATGGCTCATCCACCTGAAACAGACAGTGACAACACATTGCAGGAATGGCTAAAAGAGATTATCAACACAAATAAAGGCATCAAGCTGGATTTTAAGAGGTATCTCAAGACAAAAAGGTTTTTATATTCTTTGCATTCATACTAATTAACAGCTTTACAGTACACAATGGTAGACCCAATTTTTTCTTATTGTGCGATTTAGTGTAACGCATTACTTCTTGAACAGAAAGTGCAGTGAAACAATCTGTGTCACTAAATACATTTCAAGAAGAAACGCTTTAGAAGTGTTTTGAACTACAAATAATGATTTTGTATTCAGTGAATTTGAAAGTTGGTATTGTGCAAAGTTCTCCTATTGGGAAAACTGAAGTGATGATGCCTATCTGGGAAGCTCCTGTGAGTTTTCAGCTTGTGCAAAGAAATTGGGAAAGACAGCCTTCTCACTGGAAAGTCAAGATAGTGGCTTTCAGGCTCCAAATGGGGTTCAGCCCCCTGGGTCTCTGCCTGGCAGCATACAGGTCTCTCCTGCTGTTATCTACCTTTCTTGGTGTCATTCTCTACCATGGAAGGGGAAGAAAAGTGTTGTTTTTTCAAGGAGCTTCTGCAACGCTTTTTGAAAAGCCGGCCTCTGTTCCAGGTCTGCTGAAGTTCATAGTAATTTAGAAACATCATCCTAAACCAGCATGAATATCTTCATTTTCCCAGAGCTTCCCCTGTCTGCCAAGGACAGGAGTTCTGTTTCCTGATCATCTCCAATACTAACAATCTATTGGGGATGTCTCAGTTCAAGAATTAGGTGTACTCCTTTGAATATCTGATCTCTTCCCACATATGTTGTGGTGGTAGATTTCTGCAGCATGTTGAAAAATACAAAAAAGTTGTCTTGCTTTTTGTGTGGTAAGGTGCATGTATATTGAAGTAAATTTAGGTTTTTTGGCTTAACTTGTTCGTTAGATTTTCAGAGGTTTATTTAGAATTTTAACCATTAGCTGTTTCATTGTCTTTAATAGAAAATGCACCTGAAAACCCCATGAGATTGCCTGGAAAAGTTTGAAATGCACCTCAAAGTGAGCTGTGATTTTCAGATATACACCTCTGCAACTTGTAACTTTAGCTTTGTGTGAATGTGCATGAGGACAAGGGGTAATGGGTATAAGCTGAAAGAGGGCAGATTTAGACTAGACATTAGGAAGAAATTTTTCACTGTGCAGGTGGTGAGGCAGTGGCCCAGGTTGCCCAGAGAAGCTGTGGATGCCCCCTCCCTGGACGTGTTCAAGGCCAGGCTGGATGAGGCTTTGAGCAACCTGGGCTAGTGGGAGGGGTCCCTGCCCATGGCAGGGGGGTTGGAACTTGATGATTTTTAAGGTCCTTTCCAACCCAAACCATTCTATGATTCTACAACGTCTATTTTTGCAGCAGATGGAGGATTCATCTCCACATTAAAAAGAACTTAATCAATCCCTAAGTATGGTATAGAAATGCAAAAAAAAAAAAAAAAGTAAATAGTTGTAAAATGTGATTTATACCTGTTGTTCTGTGTAATGCAGTGAGTTTTCATGTGAAATTTCATGACAATACAAAAAAATGTGGGCAGGTTAAATCCTTTTATTATTGACAGAATCTGTAAATGTCTGCCTGGACAGAGAGGGGAAGGGACAAGAGAAGTAGACATTTGCTTGGGGTTTTTTTTGTGTTTTTTTTTGTTTGTTTGTTTGTTTGGTTTTTTTTGTTTTTTGTTTTTTGTTTTTTTTTAATTTTAGTTATTGTTTAAATTAATTTTAAAACATCTACCTCTTATTTTTCCACAGGGAATTTCCAGCCAAGTGCAGTGATTTTAAAAAGCTTTTAAAATTATGTTGAATTATAGAAGTCTAATTGCATAAAAGCATTTAAAAATACAAGCACACAGAGCAGATATAGTCAAATTAATTTTATGTTCTTTTGAATAATATTTCTTTGAATACCATTGCTGAAGTTCTGAAGTTTATTTCAACAGCATTGAAAAGTACATATTTTGTGTATTTGTACTCTGTCAGCTTGATTGACCACAAAATCATGTTTCCTGCTGGCTTTATCTGCAGGAATTAATGTATTCTGCAAAAGGACGTCAGAGTCCAACTTCAAAAATGCCAGAATTATTCAACATGGAGTCAGCAGTACATTTGAATTTTCCAATACAAACAGTGCTGTCAGGGGTTTTGTTTGTTTCCAAAGATGCTGCTTTGGGCTTTTTTCTCTTTACATTATCTTGTCCTTTGTGGTAAAAAGGAAGGCATTACCCTGGCTTTGTGAGTCCCTTGTATATGGGAAAATGTGAACTGTTTCGGCCTCAGACAATGTGAGAAATACTTAAACCACTAATGTTAACTCAAGGCATTACTAGCTTTTCTGTAAGAAGAGCTTAGCTAATACTGACTAAAAAAAACCTGCTGCTGCGCAGCTTTCTCAACCATGCAAAAGTTAAAATGTACAAAATGACTTCTCATGGGTAATAACACAGGCAACTCAGGGTGGTTTTTGGTTTTACAGCAACAGCTGGCTGCCATTCCCATTTTTGCCCACAAATCCTGACACGATTCATGTGGCCTCATTGTGAGCCAGGTTTGGGAATAACTTGGTACAGAACCATCCCTACAAAATAATGAGAAGAGTTGTTTGCCACTTTATGTCAGTGCTGAACTTGCACTCTGCTCCTAAGGCAAGCACCAGTACTGGTGTAAGAGGCTGGAGGTACAGTGGCCTTGGAACTGGGAAGAGACGGTAGCAGTTAACCATCATCCGTGTTGTTCAAACAGGCACCCGTGGAGCGCGTAGCCTGTGTTTTATGTCCGCGTGAACTGGAGCAGTTGTGATCCTCTCCTTGCTCTTTGCAATGCCTTCTTTTCCCCTTCCCCTTCCTGGTGCTTCTGTGACACCCAGAGGGACCAGGTTAGGCTGTTGAACAGGAAAACTAACCCCGCAGAACAGCATGAAGAATTTTCTGTTGGCTCAGCTCTGTATCGTGTCGCTGCAAGATTTTGAGGGAAAGCTAGAAGATGGCTTATCCAGAGCTTATGATGACTTGCAGGAGAAAACACAGGTTCTTAGCTGTGAGGAAATCACAACTCTGACTAGAATGATTTTAGATTCCTGAATGTTATATAGAAGGTTAATTAATTTGCTGTGAGAGAAAAAAAAAAAACTTATTTTCTTGCCATTCGTTCCTTCTCCCTGTTATTCCACATTTCCTTTCCTTCCACAATACTGCCTACAAAAGTTTGGTAGGATAGAGAAAGGTTATTGTTTGCCTTCTAGTTATGCTTTTTCTTTTGATTTGAGAGAACAGTGAGAATATGCGACTTAATATGTTTTGTTAAATACTTACAAGTGGTGCTACGTTGGTTGCTCAGGTGATGATATCTCATAATAATTAGCTGTAGGATAAACGTCTGATGGGCAGACTTCTTCATGCTGCCACTATGCCAGACTTTTGAGCTATGGGGACAACCACTAAAACAGTGTTGGAACCAGTGTTAGTAAAAAAATTTTCCTAAGAGTTCAATAACATCCAAGTCTTAACAGGTCAGGAGTTAGAAGAGCCATGAAGCGGTTCCTGTTGGGCAGCAGGGAGACAAGAGGCTTATGCTACTTTGCCCCAGCAGTAATAGTCACCTTATGGTAGAAGGGGCCCTCAGCGTTTGCTTTCTGACTTATAAGGAGAGTTCCATTCACATATCCATCCATAATTGTACTGTACATTTCCCATCTTCCATTAGAGTGGTGAGGTGTCTCATCTCACCCTGTGTGTTATTGGTTCAGTCTAGAAGCCGTACGGCCTTCCTTGGAGCTTCTTGAACACGTGAAGCAGCATTTGAGGCGACCCGTTTGGATCAATGCAGACATCCTACCGGGACCTAATGGAAATAACGCTGTGGTAGATGCACAAGCGTTCATTGACACCGTCACTTCCTTGTTCTCAAATGTAACCTTATCGCTGGGATGGACAACTGGCTGGTACCCCAACAAACACAATAAAGGTAAAGACAGAAAATTTACTGCTTACACTGCATGGTCTATTTTCTTCACGTTCATTTCATAATTAATTGAAAATAAGTTATGTGCCACCAGGTCAGTTAGAAAATAATAGTGAATATAACAAGAATTATTTTCTCTGTTGGTGTATATTTGATAGTGTTTTACAGCCATTAGTTCAATGTTTGAGTTGCAACTGTATAAAAACGTGGTATTTTTGTTGTTAATATTATGCTCTTTAACTCATTCGCACATAATAAGGAATTTTCTGGGGACAAACTGCTTATGGCCTGCTTCAGGCTCCTGAATCCTAGCAGGATTGGTTTGGTAACTGGAATTCAGGCATGTTTGCTGAAGAAAAATAGATTAGCTGGAAATTTAAAACTTTTACCAGTGTTTTGCAGTAGATAACTGAAATTAAATTGTAGGTTAACATTGTTTTTAACATTTCGTTTCTGTTGAATAACTGCATTCTTCCAATAAATTTTCCAATTTATTTATGTTAGTAACTTTTAAAAATCTCTGTTTTGAGAATCTAATTGTAGTTTCTTACTGTTAATCTCTAACTTGAATTTAGATCCTGAACATGTAGCCGTTATTTTAGGTTCCTTTTTACAGGCTTCCTCCTGTAATTCTTATAGCTGCTTTGGTAGGGTGTTTTACTCCAGTGCACATGCCTTTGTGTGCAGTAGCTTAGTCTTCAACAATATTGTCTGTGACTGCAATGGCAAAGTTATACACTCTTCCAAATTGCTAATTGTTCATTAGCAAGACTTAGTATAGTGCTATGAGGATTTTGTTGTGTGTTATATATTAATTTATGTAGTACTTTGTCCAAAACATTTTAAGTGGAATAAATGGTTGCTGGAAATAATGCACTGGAAATACTAAGTAATATTTTTTAATAAATGGAACTTTATCTCCATTCTAAATTTCATTTTATGGTGGTGGTAATTAAGGATATACTCTAAGACAAGAGAAAACCAGCCAGTTTGACTGATTTCAGCGACGAGTTTCTGTTTGCGCAACCAAATACTTTTTTTTTAAAGATTTCGTCTTGTAAGTCTTTTCAGTCACAGCATTGCAGATGAGTACTTGAGAAAAAAAAAATTGTTGTTATTGAAGTTAAGATTTTCATAGGCTGTAGAAATAAGAGATTATTAAATACTGATTTAACTAGCTCCCAGTGCTTGTAAAAATCTCAACAGCAGACACTTGAGGCGTTTTAGAATGATTGATTTTAGCATTTTTGAGTATAAAATGTTTTACATGCTTAATTTCTCTATAATTTAAAGTCTTCTGTTGCATTCATTGAGGTTTTTTATAATTTTTTCAAAGTGCTTCTGTTTTTTAAGGGTCACTGTGAAGTTAAAACTAGTCCATATTGAAGTCAATGGCAACACTGGTTTTTAGAGAGAGAGCAATGATACAATTTCCTGGACATTAGAAAATGTCACCTTCTATTGCTCTATGTAAAAAACCACTGTAATTAATAGAAATAAAGAATTTCAAAATAAGTTTATTTTTCTCTATTAGTATTTATTTTCTCCTCTGGGACAATTACATTTTTTATTCAGAGTGATTTAATGATTTCATTTTAGAGTTATGACATTTTCACAAAACCCATCTTTGCTCTTGTATTATCTGGCAACCTAATCATTCTAGAATTTATTGTGTCTTTATAGAGATTGTATTTGTGAATGATTCTTTTTAATCAAATGGTCTGTATTGTAGGCTATGATTGGATAATGGTGAAAGAAATGGCTCAGATATGCAGCACACTTTCCCAGCCTGTAACTTTCCCTGTAAGAGCAGCATTAGTACGACAGTCAATACCTGAGCTGTGTTGGTTAATGCAACAGTCAGATAGGTAAGTCTGAGGGCCTTTATTTTTAGCTGTCTTTATTACAAAGTCACATAATTGTTTATATTAAATATAGCATAGTTATGTGTACGTATTTATTCCAATTGCGTTAAAAATATTTTTTCTTATGGATTATCCCTTCTTTTCATGAGTTTGTTCAGTTCTTACGTTGTGTTGTTACTCAAAAGTGGTCACTGTTCATTTCTTTAAAATAATAAAATTCCAAAAGCCTCTTTTAAAATTACTTATTTCAGGTAGTGAATCTTATGTAGGTTTGCAATGCAGTTGCACTATTAACACTTCATAAGACTAATTTAGTTAAATAGACCAAGTAGTTTGATTTTGCAATTTGGAATTAATAAATTTAAATACTTACAGATACTTTTGATTGGATTCAGTATTTACATTTTCTGTAATAATGTGACATAGAAGAATTGAAGGTGATTTTTATGTTGGAAGTTAATGAGTGCTACGAAGCTGATTTTGTCTAGGTACTTGAAATACATTTAGTGGTTTCCAAACACTGACTGAATATTTCCTTTTTAAAATAGTTTTTACAAGCCCATAGCAATTTAATAGAAAAAAAATTATTTACATGTAGCAGAATGAGAATAAAACCTGCTTTGTACATACTGGTTTTTACTTATATTTTTCACCTACTCTGCCTACCTACACTTTAATAAAGTTGTTCATAAACCACTAACCAAAGTCAAAGCTCAAGACAGAAAAAGACAGTGACTTGTATAGAAAATTTCTAAGCAATTAGGGACAAGAGGGTAGAAAAAATAAAGTGTTTTTTTTCTTATTTATAGTGGTGAGTCGAGAAAGAAATTAGACTTAAACATTTGAAACTGGGAAATTAATTTCAAAATATTATGTTAAGAGCATGTCTCGTGAATTGTGCCATTCTGAAATATGTCCTCATTGGATACAGGCATTATTCCCACTGAAATACTAGGCTTTTCTCTTTTACCTCAGCATAAAGATCCTGATTTTTCTTAGTGGCATGGTTAGAAGACAGAAATTCCTGAGCCAGCTTTGCTGACATACAGCTAACTTCTGATTTACCTTTATTTTAGATTAATACAGTTTTAATAAACAAAGGGGAAAAATGAAGTATTTGTCAGATGGAGATTGTGGAGCATAATGCTTTTAACTTTAAATGATACTTCAAAGTTTTTCAGTCAGTTTGAAGAGTTATTACAAAGACTCTGCAATTAATCAGAAAAGTGTATGCGATAAGGCACAGAAGATGCATTCAGTCAAGCAGATTATATCACCACACATCACTTAGGTGATAAAACACAGAGTATGATAAATCACCTATAACTGAGATTGCCTTTTATTTTCTGTTACAGTGCTCTGCTTTTAACTGTTTATGACTTTGTCAAACTTTAAATGCTCAGCCTGGTAAATTTCTTTGCTGGATATCCGCCTAAGATTTTTTTATTTTACTCCTTGCTAGGTTTTGCAGAACAGTTCACACAAGGACAAGGCTACAGATAAATTGTTCTGCGTGATGTAGGATTGTCCACCTTAAAAATTTTGCAGTTCTTCAGAAGTTATAGAACGTTTAGCCTTAGGAACAAGAACTTCAAGTTTGGCTCGAACTGGATTGTGTAACTTACCTCTGTAACAAGGAAAAAAAAAATGTGTCAAAGGAATAGACCTCAACAAATATTAGTTTGCATGTGTCAAACACAGGTTTATTCATCAGCTAATCTGTTCATTTCTGGAGCTTATTAGTGCAATGTCTTTCTGTCTTGCATGCTTTATCCTAGGATAATAACATTATTTTTTCTTTTTTCTCTTTTTTTTCCTTTTTTTGATATAGGTACAGTCTCACTCTTTGGACAGGGAAGGAAGATGTGTATTCTGTAGAAGATTTGCTTTACATCCGAGAAAACTTTGATAAAAGTAGGGTTTATTATGACATCTTAGAGCCACGAAATTCTGAATTCAAAAAAGCCATAGGAGTTGAATAGTAAATACAAAGCAGGGAATCTCTCTGACATTGTAATGCTTAGCCTCTTTAAATGTGAAGATTTCTTGTTCAGGGAAATGCATTTTCCTTCCCAAAAGAATTGTATAGAACACAGCCATGGTTATTGTTTTTGTATAACACTCTATTGAAAGGCTTATCAAATAAAAATTTAATGCCTTCTTTAATAGACCAGAATTGTTACTTACTTATCATATGCATACTCCTCTCATTCACCCAATGGCTTGTTGTAGAGGCTACTCATGTTACCTAAATATTCTGGTACTTCTTCCCTGCAATTACATAAAAGGGAGAATGGCCCCAGCAGAGAGTCATGGACCAAGGTAATTTGCTACGAACTGCTTTTTTGTAAACCAAAGTCTATGGGACACTCAATCTCTACCAAAGCCTGTTTCTGCTTTTTATAGGGGAGGCCAAGAGTCAAGACGGTGTTAAGTACAGAACCATGCAGTTCCCAAAGGGGTTATTTTGTAGCTCATCTTGATACGCTCTATTTTTAATGCTGCTGCAATTATAATGTTCTCGCTCCTAGTCAATAGAAAATTCTGTTTGCTAGATGTAAAGAGTGGAATCTGTGATCCTACATATTCTCCAGGGAGAAAGAATAATTATTTTTACTGAATTAAAACTGATCAGGTTCTCTGCAGTGTGGTGATTGTGCATTCCACACCATGGCTTGCCTCTGTGCTTTCTGAGCCCTCAGCAACATCGTCCTTGGATTGTGGGAAAGCTTGAGTTGGAGTTGTAGCTGCACTGCAGGACGTGCTGGGGCAAACAGAACCCCCAAAATTAAGAATAATCCTGTCTCGTACATAACACACAAAGATGGATTACAGGGAGGTACACATCAGAGACAGCATGAAAAGTGCTGTAGCAGTTCATAAGAGAGAGAAGTGCTGGTGGTTCTTTCAAGAGTTTTAGACTAAATTTTAAGTGTAAGAGGAGTTAATGTAAATTGTTCTGCTGCAGTCTTTCTGAAAGCCAGGGGCTCTAAGAATGAAATAGCTGTACAGTCATGAGTGCCTCCAGCAAAAATTGTACATGCCTGTGATAATACGGTTATTTTCTGCACTCTCCTGGATTGTTCATCTTTTTAACTCTCAGAATACGATTTTGAAAATTTTTGAAAGTTGAACTTCCCTTTGAGAAAACCTAAGATCATGGCAGCCTTGCTTATCACCTGCAGGAAGAGTCAGACCTATTTCATTTTAATAATTTTTTGGCTCTCATGCTTCTGCATCCCTCAAAATTACTACAGATATTGAAAACTGTGCAGATTGAGATACAAGCTGTGTATTTTTGTCTTTTGCCAAACATTACAATTTTTTTTTTCACAATGGCAGAGGAGATTTTGATTTCTAAATGAAAGCTGATTCTGTGAAGAGTCATTACCCTGACATCTTCTTCCCCTTCTTTTCCCATTCCTCTTGCATGCATTAATTTTTTTAACTTTGATGTTTAACACAACACTGGACAGGCTGTTAGTACTAAAGAGTTAATTACAGCACTTTTTAGTTCTTACAGCTTTTTTCTATTGTATTAGTACAATTGTGATAGAAAAGTTACATTTATTAATTCTAAATCTTGAAATATGGTGATTTTATGCAGTCATTAAAATATACGATTCCTGGTTGTTACCTAAGCTCCTTTGTTAGGTTTATTATTAGAATCACAGAATCATTTAGGTTGGAAAAGACCCTTAAGATCACTGGGTTCATCCATTAACGAAACTGCCAAGTCCACCACTAAACCATATCCCTAAGTGCCACATCTTTTAAATACCTCCAAGGATGGTGAACTCCACCACTTCCCTGGGCAGCTTGTTCAGAGCTTGACAACCCTTTCAGTGAAGAAGTTTTTCCTGATATCCAGTCCATTTCCTCCACTTGCTACTTGGGAGAAGACACCAACACCCACCTTGCTACAACCTCCTTTCAGGTAGCTGTAGAGAGCAATAAGGTCTCCCCCCAGCCTCCTTTTCTCCAAATGAAACAACTCCAGTTCCCTCAGCTGTTCCTCACAGGACTTGTTCTCTAGATCCTTCACCAGCTTCGTTGCTCTTCTTTGGACAATTCCAGCACCTCAATGTCTTTCTTGTGGTGAAGGGCCCAAAACTGAACACTGTTCAAGGTGCAACCTCACCAGCGCCGAGGACAGAGGGACGTTCACTTCCCTAGTCCTGCTGGCCACACTGTTTCTGATACAAGCCAGGATGCTATTGGCCTTGTTGGCCACTTGGGCACACTGCCAGCTCGTATTCAGCCGACTGTTGACCAACACCCCAAGGTCCTTTTCCACTGGGCAGCTTTCCAGACTCTTCCCTGAGCCTGTAGCACTGCATGGGGTTGTTGGGACCCAAATGCAGGACTCAGCACTGAGCCTTGTTGAGTCTCATGTGATTGGCCATAGCCCCTTGATCCAGCCTGTCCAGATACCTCTGTGGAGCCTTCCTTCATTGCAGATCAACACTCCTGCCCAACTTGGTGTTGTCTGCAAACTTACTAAGGGTGCATTTGACACCCTCATCTAATAATTGTTTTACATTATTGAGTGGTAGAGCTTTTATCAGGAAATATTTTTTTCCAAATAAGGAAGAAAACTCTCTAGTTGTACTTGGAATGGTTAAACAGAGTATTTAATGTAATTTACACAGTCAGTCAGCATGAATGGCAATAACCACCAAAGCGTTAAGTTTGGAAGTGTGATTCCTTTTAATCAATTGTGAGAAACAATTTATTCTTCAGTTCACTCTGACAACATGATCTGCTTTGAGCAGATTTAACCTCTCAGTTCTGTATAGCATCTGTTGCTATGAGCTTTGCATGCACACTTCACTATACATGTGAGGAGGAGAGATTAACTGTTTCCTAACTGATCATAACTATGGAAGATATTTTACGTACTTCAAAGACCCTCCTCCAACCCAGATTGTTTGGAGTAAAACAGGTTTAGGAGCTATTGCATGAACAGGCATGCTACCAGATCTGATCACGCAGTATCCTTTTCTGGATGATGACTCTTTGACTTAACTCCCCTTCAGGGAGGACAGGATATATGAATGACGAAAGCTACAGTTAAAGACATTGCTTTGACTCTATGGTACATACAATAAATCAGTAAGAAATAGTGTAGTTCAGAGGTTTTTGTTTTCTGGGATGTATCACTGAACAAGAAGCCAGAACAAGGATGTCAGACAGCTTTTGGAATCAAATGGAACATAGCTGCATTAGCCAAATGAATCAGACAGGTGTTGGAATAACAGAATTTGCTTTTAAGGGACATAAGGGAAATAGCTTGAGGATACATCGCTGTAGCCATGTTCATTTACTGAATGAAAGGTGCAATTAAAGGGCATTGGGTTTTTTGAATTATTCTTATTGAACACTTCTAGGCTTAGTGTAGATTTCTTTTCAAGATATTGCTGGTCACTCAGAAGCAGCAATAATTTGTAACCATACATTTACTTCTCATAGATTTAAAGATGAGTATCTTCTTGTCCTTTTGTTCCAATCTATGTAAATGTTTAGGAGTGGCATGAACTCCTAGATCTGTTTCACCTCCTGGTTGCAGGCAGTTATATTTATTGACTTGAGGGATTTTGTCTTTCAGTTGGTTGGGCCTTTTTGTGTCCACGCTGGCAAACTTTTCTGTTGTTTAGAAGCCTTTTTCCCCACTTAATCAATTGCCACCTGAAGTATTAAGATTTGTTAAAACTGGTTAAACTATTAAGTAAAAAACATCAGCAATTGCCAGAAGTATTTTTAAGGGTCAGGACATCATGGAAGAAGTATCACTGAGTAATAATATACATGGATATGAATAAACCGGGATATTCAGATAAAATAAAAAGAAGACATGACCTGGATTACCAGAAAAATTAATTAAAGTAACAAGACATGTAAAAATTGATTAAACAAAATGCTGAAAATTAATTCCGTGAAGCATTCTTACAATTACAGAAGGGTTTGACTATATGGTGAATTTGATTATTCTGTACACATGTAAGTCGTATACATCTGAATTTCTGTACATTAATTACAGTTCATCAGCATGCATCTGCATCTGGACTTCAGAAATTTGTGAATAAATGGGACTGTATGCAATTCTAAAAAATATGTATTTACTGTTCAGTTTAAGAAGTTAGCATGTTTTTTAAGTGGCTGAATATAACTTCACTTTTTTTTCCTGCTGTTTTTTCCTGGACAAAACCTCTGAATTAACATTGGATCTACACTGTGGTGCTAGCACAGGAGATGATATCTTTATGGCTAAATTTAAAATAGCGATTTTGACTTCATGTTGATAACTCCTGAGTCCTGTGGTGCCTCCTGAAGTGTTGAACTGTTAATACTTCGGCTTCCTGAATCCTAGCGGAGATGAGCACTATGGCTGAGGCAAGGCTGCTCTGAGCTGCAGGTTGGACAAGAGTTGCAGAGGTTCCTTTCAGCCTATATTTTTTTTTTAATCATTTAATGACTCATTTCACCTGCTACATAATACATAGTACTGTAGAGGATTAATATGGATGCAAAAGGAGTTTTAAGTAATTCTTCTGTAATTACTCTCAAAGTCATCGGGTTCTGTTGCCCATTCTGTACCAGCAAAAAGAAGCAAGTTTTATGTTTTAGTTGCGTGAAATGCCAAACAAGGGCATTCCTATGAGGTCTGCACTTTCTTTCAATGAGCTAAATGCATCATCGGCCAAGGAGACGCGTGTCTCAGATAACAGGTGTCCTTCTTCGAAGAACAGGAATTTTGCAGGGATTATGCAAATATATGTATTAAAATAAGGCTAACTTGTGTAAAGGAGTAGAAGACCTATCGTTTTTTAAACATTATTAATAGTCAGGTATTTTATCAGAACAATTAGTCAAAAAAATTGGAATTTTATCTGTTTCACTCTGAAAAAACAACCCTGAGCTTTCTTGAGATGTGTCCTTACCAAACCTGATCTCCTTGAAGGCATTGCAGTGCCAGTAATAC